CAACACCTAAACCATCAACCCCTAAAGCTTGACCGGCTTAGCCTGAACCTTGAGCAATGGAGGATGGACCCTGCGCAGATGTGCCAGCCTGAACCCGAACGTAAGTCGTCCCTGGTGCTCCTTCGCGAGCCTCGGAAGCGCCTGGGGGGGACGAGCTCCCGGCGTGCCCCAAGCAGACCGCAACGACCCCCGGATGCGGCTCCGAGCAGATCCGCTCCAATCACCGCAGAGAGCCATCGGAGTTCACCGGTCGCCGCAGCTCCGAGCCGCAGAGGGAGGGAGGAGCCCCTTCTGCCGCCGCACAGCTCCAGAGAGCCCGTCGCTGTGCCTTCGTCCAGGGTTGCAGATGGCGACGAGAGTGTGCAACGCACGAAATCTGCCCAAAGCATTCCTGCAAGCTCCCTAAATCAAGCCCCCCAAACCCTCAACCCCAAGCCCTCAATGAATCCCAAGCCCCAAACCCCATCCGCAAGCTCCACCTCTCTGGTGGAACTGATCGACCGTGGCACCTACGGCATGGGGCCCGCTGGCCGTCGGGCGCCTTCCCGTGCGCCCTCCGCATGCCGCGCCGAGTCCCTGCCACCCCAGGCTCAGGGGTTCGGGGTTTAGGGTTCAGGGTTATAGGGCTTAGGGTGTAGGGTTCAGGGTTTAGGGTTCGGGGTGTAACGTTTAGGGCTTAGGTTAAAGGGTTCAGGGTTCGGGGTTTAGGGTTCAGGGTTTAAAGTTTAGGGCTTAGGGCTAAGGGTTTAGGGTTCAGGGTTTAAAGCTAGGGTTCAGGGTTTAGGGTTCAGGGTTTAAAGTTCAGGGCTTTGGGCTTAGGGTTCAAGGAATAAAGTTAAGGGCTTAGGGTTTAGGATTCAGCGTTTAGGGTGAGCGCCCTTCGGCACCCTAAACCCGAAACCCTAAACCCTAAACCCTAAACCCTAAACCCTAAACCCTAAACCCTAAACCCTAAACCGACTTCGAGGAGCCACGGAGGATGTGGGACCAGGGCACCCGAGCCAGCTTGGAGCAGGCGGCCCGCGCCAGCCTCAGCCTCCAGAGCCTGCGTGCCAAGAGTGCCTGGCCCGAGGGAAGAGAGCGACTAGGCCCCGGTTTAGGGTTTAGGGTTTAGGGTTTAGGGTTTAGGGTTTAGGGTCTAGGCCGTCTTATAGGTCAGGACCTCTAGGTAGTCCTTCAGCCGGAATTCTAGGCCTTTGGGACAGTTTCATATTTTTTCCCTTATTGGGCTTAAGAGGATCTTGTATATGAATAAATTTTCAGAGGCTTTGAGAGCCTAGGCGACGGACGGAAGATTCGGATCCCTGGGCTGCGTATTTCAACCCGGAGCTCCGAACTAGCAAGGAGGAGGCTATGCCGGTCTGGGGCAAGCTGCCCTTACGGCTAAAGCGCGAGCGAAGTCAGAGGCCTGTGAAGGAGGGCGCGGCGGAGCTCACCACTGGGCATATCCCCGTCCTACGGGATGAATCCATCAACTGCCTCCTCGGGGGCCCCGATGCAACCGATGGCTTCTATGCCGATGGCACCTTCGGCCGGGGTGGGCACTCCACGGAGATTTTGCGTCGGTTGTCCGGAACAGGTCGACTTTGGTCCTTCGACGTGGACCCGAATGCGATTGCAGTGGGCCGGAAGCTCGAAGAGCTCGACGAGCGCTTTTCGATGATCCATCGGCCCTTTGCGGATGTCCATAAAAGCCTTCCTGATGGGCTAGAGCTGTCTGGGATGCTTCTAGACATTGGCTTCTCTTCGCCTCAGGTTGACGATGGGGGCCGTGGCTGGAGCTGCTACCAGGATGGCCCACTCGACCTTCGCATGAATTTCAAGGCAGGGATACCTGCCTGGAAGTGGCTGCAGACGGCCACCCCTGCCGAGTTGGCATGGGTGGTCTACGAGAACGGGGAGGATGACGACCCGATCCTTTGCCACCGGATTGCTGAGGCGGCCCTCGAGCGGCAGCGGCGTTGCGGCCCGTACACCTCCACGCTCGAGCTCTCCACCTGCATACAAGAAGTGACTCGGTTCGTTTAGGGTTTAGGGTTTAGGGTTTAGGGTTTAGGGGTAGTACCCTTTTGCCCTTTTTCTTTTTGGGCTCCCTTATTAAAGCCAAATAGTAGGAAAAAGTGTACCCTTATTGTTAAGGGGCTACTTGGGAACCTAGGATCAGAAAGACTTGAGGGGCTACTGGGGAACCTAGGATCAGAAAGACTTGAAGGAGGGATTTCATGTTCAGATCCCGGAGCTGCCACAAGTCGAGTTTGGGGGCAACGGCCATCTTCCGATTCTGCCATCTGCAGCTCCTTCCCGGCTTCTACCAGAGGCTCAGTAGCTGAGTGGATACACTTTACACTTTTTGGGATAATATTACCTACTATAAAACCGAAAGTGTACACTTTTTTGGGCTTATGAACCCAGCAACTAAGAAGGGCTTTAACCTCCCGAAGACAGAGCTCTTCTGGACCAATCAACGTGGGCACAAGCTCCACATCCGCCACTTTGAGCACGAGAACCCCTTGGCGCTGGTGGTTCTCGTTCATGGCTATGGCGCTCATATGAACAGCCCGCATGTGTACCAGACATCCTGTCTATACGCGAAGTCCCTGGAGGCAGAGATCATGACCTAACCCTAAACCCTGGAGGCAGAGATCATTACCTAACCCTAACCCCTAAATGCTAAACCCTAAACCCTGGAGGCAGATTTCATGACCTAACCCTAAACCCTGAACCCTGGAGGCAGAGATCATGACCTAAACGCTAAACCCTAAACCCTGGAGGCAGAGATCATGACCTTTGACATGCAGGGCCATGGCTACTCGGAAGGGCCGCGTGGTGCCGTGGCCAGTTTCGATGACATGGCCGAGGACGTAGAGTCCCTGGGCTTTGGAGTACCAACGGTTTAGGGTTTAGGGTTTAGGGTTAATACTTGTTTTGGTACCTGTTCCTTAAAGGAACCTTTATGAAATACCATACTATACTTTTTTGGTACCTGTTCCTTAAAGGAACCATTATGAAATACCATACTATACTTTTTGTTGGTACCTGTTCCTTAAAAGGAACTACTATGACATAAAAGTCTATACTTTTTTCTCCCTGGTTGCTTCAAAGCCCAGGTCCTTCATGCGGCTGATCTACACTGCGAGAGAGACCAAGGGCAAAGACTTTCACCTTTGCCCATCAGACGCTCTTCAAAGGATGCAAAAGCTTCCCTTCGTTTTGGGTGGTGAAAGCATGGGAGCCGCTGTTGTTCTTCTTGCAGGCTTGCGCCTGCAGGGGAAGCCCATCCCAGACGGGTGCTTCGGTGGGGCCATCCTTCCTGCCCCCGCAGTGCGGGACCCGAGCACAGGCAAGGGCCCTACGCTGCTCACGCGTTCACTCTGCTCATTGGTGAAGTTGTCCCCCGCTTTGGGTGAAGTCGGGGTGCCGAAAGCATTTCTCCCCAAATTCACGGGAGCAGCGATTTTCGAAGATGCCGCTTTGGCAGAGCACTTTGATCGTGACAACAGCGGATCTCAGTCAGGATCTCTCGGATTTCTACACGCGCCCATGAACGCACGGACCGGCACGGCTTTCGTGGAGATGTTCCAGAAGATGCCTATGGTGCTGCCCCTGGTGAAATTCCCAGTCCTCATCTTCCATGATCCGACCGACTCCATCATTTCCTTCCATAATGCCGAGTCTTATTGAGTGTTTCAGTTTAGGGTTAAGGTATGTAGGGTGTAGGGAAGAACACATGACTAAGCAGTCCTCGAAACCTGTAGCATAGACACTCTGCGTTCCTGGTAAGGAGTGGATCTCGGAGCTCATTGCGAGCACAGATAAGAAGCTGGTACCAATTCCTGGAGGCTTGCGTGCACCGCTCCCTAAACCCTAAACCCTAAACTCTAATTTCAACACCAATTCCTGGAGGCTTGCACGCACCGCATTTCAACAGACTTGACGTGGTGCTGCCTCACTTCCGCGACTTCTTGCTGAGACAGGTGGGTCTGAAATCTGGGATGTGCCTAAACTACGGTGGATACAAAAAGTCCTATAAGCGAACCTAATATAGGCGGCTTAAATAATTACCAATACTGTTGTGGGGGGGTCCTTACTATAGGTATAGTCTAATGGGCCCCAAAACTCATTCTAATTATTTAGGCCCCTACTGTAAGCTCCTTGTACCTTGCAATTCATGGTACGTTAAGTAAATGACAGTAGCACCAACGACAAGCTAAGCTGCGAAGACACTCGAAGGGAAGCGTAGCGGCGTAGCTTTGGCACACCCATTTTTCTAGGATTCCATCATGATCGCAACATATTATGCTCCTTCCTGCCTTTTAAGTAGCAGTACCTCGGGTGCTTTAGAAAAGCGCCCCTAATTGAGTTTCGAAGGTGAAGAAGGAGACTCCATCGGAGTCCGCTCTGGCAGAAGAAGGCCGTGCCAGTCAAGGTCTCAGATAGCCAATGGGAGAACTTTAAACTTCTTCGCCTTATATGAGAGTTTCCGAAAATTAGGGGTACTTATTTTGGTGTCCTTCTTATAAGGCTCCTACTATTTAGGGTACTATATTAGGGCCCCTATTATCGGAAACCCCCATATATTAGATTTGTCCTAAAAAGTTTGAACTTATTTGGGGCCTGGTTGTTGAAGAAGCGAGAGGTGCAGATGCTGAGACGGTTTTGATCAACGCCATGTCCAAGTGGCCAGCACGAGAAAGGACTGCTCCTGAGGTAGGCAGTCCTCCAAGAAGCTTACTGGGAGTTTAGGGATTTTTTAGGGTTTAGGGTTTTTTTGGGTTTAGGGTTTAGGGTTTAGGGGTTAGTCGGGAATATAGGAATATGTTAAATATCGACGCAGTCTGTGGGAAATATATGAATATGTTAAGTAGGGATTAAAGGCGAGTAGTTCCATTCCCTTATTCCCTACTAAGAACCAGTATGGGTCCCCCATGATGAGATTGCTTCTACCCTCCGCCATGCATTTATGTTCAATTGGAAGTCATTCTTTACTGGAATAAGAACCCTAAACCCTAAACCCTAAACCCCTAAACCCCTAAAGCCCTAAACCCTAAACCCTATAACCCCTAAACCCTAAACCCCTAAACCCCTAAACCCTCAACCCTAAAGCGGAAGAAGCTGCGGCGACCTCCAGGTGTCCTTGCTCTTCTTGCTTGCCTATGCGGTCTGCTGTACTTCGCCATTGTGGGTTTGGGCTCTGGGCGAAGGTTGGGCAGGCATTTCCGTGCTAGCTGTCCTCGAGGCCACACTGTTCCTTCTCTTCGCGTGTGCCTGGACCATGTGTTCGGAAAGAATTCATGTTCTCGAGATTCATGATTCCCATCTGGATCATTTATATATTAGTTACTGCCCCCTAAGTGAACCCATAAGAAATGAATCCTTCATCCCAGTAATAACACGCTGCAACAATCAAGACCAGTTCAACCAGGCACTCTGCTGGCCGCCATGCGGATGACTCGGCTTCTGCGTGCAAGCAACCAAAGGGCGGCCTCCCCCACGCAGAGCCCGGAGGTTGGGATTTCAAAGCCAGGAGGTTTTCACAAGAAGAGCAAAGGCAGAAAGGGCAGCTGTAAGAAGAACAACACGAGCCAAGAAGAATGGATCCGGCTTCAGAACCCCCTCCATGCTTATTTTTGAATCAGTCGGGGATGCTTCTGTTGCCCGGCCCTTTAGGTTGCTACCTGGCAGCACCTGGTGTGCGTGCCTGTTTACAACGAGCCAGACGAGGCGCGCCATGAAGATGGGTGACGTTTTCGGTGCGATGACCCAGGTCTCATAGGGGCCGGTGAAGTCTTGACGTGTGTTACTCAGGGATTTTTAGGATCAGTGTTCAAGATGGAGTCGGATCTCCAAAAAGACCATCATGTGCACCTGATGGCCTCAAGGGGGAAACACCTGGTGCTAGCGCCTAATGACTCTGATCTGATATCAAACTGCTTTTTGTCAATTGCCACATTGTGCCAAACGGGGAACAGGGAGGTCATCGGCAATAGGTCGAAGATGTCTGCTGGATGCAGACCCTCCTCCTCTTTCAAGAACTGGCGCAAAGACTTACTCGGACTGAAAGCTACAGTATTGCTTGAGTTTTATGGGCGCTACTCTTGGGATCCCTTCCCCCAATCCCCGCTGACGACCACTAAAAGTATAGATCCAGGTGGTGCTGGCGACGCTGACCGGACTGAACAAGTCTGCAGCCGCCCCTCGAATGCGGGTTGTCTTAGCCATGGAGGAGCCAAGAGAACTTCTGGAAGCCCGCACCCCCCGTTCCCGACAGAACAAACCTAAATTATAGGGGCTTCGCAGACGGGCATTGGCTGGAAGGCAGGTTGAGCGGGAGGTTCACTAGAAGTTGGCGCCATTTGGAGCAGGCAATCCGACTATTTGGCATACTAGGCTACACGTTGCCCTAAGGCTCCATGTGCCCATATAGTAGATACTTAAGCCTGAAAGTACCTATATAGGGACCCCTTTAAGGCCTAAGTATCTACTATAAATGTACATGGAGCCTTTGGGTTAGGGAGTAATGATCCCGAAGATGGCTGCAGCAGTCAGCTGGCGAATTTGCCAGCAGTGTTGCCGAGACTCGTAGTACCTTAAAGGGAATATATGGGGCTATATAATCCCCTAAACCCTAAACCCTAAACCGTTATATACGGAAACATGAGGTTTCGGGTTTAGGGATTCCCAATCCTAGCACAGACAGTTGTGGTTGAAGATTCGCAGGGCGCAGAGTTTGCAGTACTCATAGCCAAGTAGCGGCCAGCCAGCCTTTGCACCCTAAACCCTTAGGGTTTAGGAAGTTTAGGGTTTAGGGGTTTAGGGTTTAGGAAGTTTAGGGTTTAGGGGTTTAGGGTTTAGGGTTCTATTCCAATGGCACGCATATTTCAGGGGATGCCTTCCGCAGAGAAGATGCATTGTCAACACGCACTGTATACATTGAAATGAAGGCCCTTGGTACAGTCCGGGTGTTGTTACGGCAAGGAATTTCAGTTAAGCTACTACAAATACAAAAACCCTCTTGCTATTCATGTACCCAAACCCATATTATGGCAGGTTAATTTAAGTTCCTTCACAGCAACCGTTTAGATGTGCAGGTTTCCAAGGCGGCTAAGTCCCTTGGAGTTGTGAGGACTCCATTTAAATGGGCTGCTGTTCAGGAATTTGAGTTTGGTTACCGTCTTATGTGTGTACAGAAAGTAATATGGTTTCCTTATTAGAGTATCTTTTTTACAATGTTCCTTAGCAGAAATAAATCCAGTAAAGTGGCCCCTAAACCCTAAACCCTAAACCCTAAACCCTAAACCCTAAACCCTAAACCCTAAACCCCTAAACCCTAAACCCTAAACCCTAAACTTCCCGTTCAAACAGGAGACCCCGTGACCGCGCAAGCCCTGAATTCGTGAAAGTACCCAAAACACCCATTAACTCCTCACTTTCACCACTCTTCTTACTAACATTACTGTTCCTGGTTTAGGGTTTAGGGTTTAGGGTTTAGGGTTTAGGGTTTAGGGTTTAGGGTTTAGGGTTTAGGGTACTATTATTACTGTTCCTTCTATTATTGCCGTTATTCTTATAACTAAAAGAGCACTGCCTGCAGGAGGCCACTGACAGAGTTGACGAGCGCTTTGAGCGCTACAGACAATGTCTCCAGTTTGCACTTACTACATTTTCCTACTGTGGGCCAGTAGGGAAAATGGAATATAGTACATAGAGATTCTATAATTTATAAGGATAGTCTTCCCCTATTCCCTACTGGCCACCAGCAAGTTTTGTATGACCCTAAACCCTAAACCCTAAACCCTAAACCCCTAAAGAGGTTTTGGGTTGCATTCGCAGGAGCTTCTCAGCGGCCAGAACTTTCGGAGCCTACTTAAAGGACCATGGGACTTATAGTAATTGAGGCCATTATTAGGGTTTAGGGTTTAAGGTTTAGGGTTTAGGATCCTGGGACTTATAGTAATTAAGGTTATTATTGCGATAACTATACTTAAAAAACTACTTATAACCCCAACTAAGGTACTGATATCCATACTTACTAAGTCCCATGATCCTCCAAGTAGAGTTGTTTTCGTTATGTTCAGGGAGCTCAAAAAGGATTCCTCCCCAGACACTGGAATCCACTTTCAAATTTCTTTAGAAGCTTGGACTTAGAGACTACTCGTAATCCTTGTAGCCGCTGCCAAATGTCTGGTGAGAGCAGGAGAAGAATTACACAAGGCCTCAAGAACCTAACCTTTGCACCCTATGCACTTTTCCTTCTGGAAAACATTGTTCTGAGATAGGATGCCCTTCACATTCACAATTTCCCATAGCAGAACGGTCAGAACGGTCCTTGCTTTCAGGCCTATGGCGCGTCCCGGAGGTCTGCCACTACGTGCACCCTGTTGGGTCGGTGCAAGGTGAAGTCCGAGGTTTGTGTTCCAACCTGGCACATGCCATGTCCGTTGATGTCCCTAAGCTGGTTCATCGGTGCAACGGCAATGTGGAGGCGTTGTCCAGCTATGTGTTCACCAAACTCGATTCCCAAGTGCATCTCCCGCCGAACTACTTCGAAGAGTTGGAGATGTCTTGCCAGCGAGTGGGTAGCGAGGCCGTTGTATTTCAGCCTCTCCCGGTCAATTTTGTGAACCGACACCTTAGTCATGGCCCCATGCGGGCCATTGCAGCTGCTCGGACTTTCTCCTACCCGATTCTTTTTGCCTTGAACCTTATGACTGTCACCTGCTACAGTGTGCCACTGCTGCAGTACATGAAGATGGGCTTGACTCATGCTGGCTATCTTGGTGAGGATACTGGTTTAGGGTTTACAGTCAGGGTTGCACAGAGGTTTGCTGGAGGATCCAAGGTAAGTGCTGTCCATGTTTCAGAGTCATGCTCCTTTTTAACTTTTTAACAGGTCCACCATATCACTTTTACACAACCGTGCAAAGTGTTGATGACGTACTTCAGTGCAAGTTCTGTCAAGGAGCGTTTTGAGGGCCACCCTAACCCCTAAATAATCCCAGTTTCCACTTGAGTCTCCCTTTGATTCTCCAGTATTCAGGGATACATACCCCATATAAACCCTAAACCCCTAAACCCTGAACCCTAAACCCCTAAACCCCTAAACCCCATACCGTTATATATCCTAAAACCCTAAACCCTAAACCGTTATATATCCCATGTAGGGCAAGTCAGAGGACATGATGATGCTGGCTCAGGCGGCCTCATCAGGTGGGGGGGTTCCTGAAGCGGTTTAGGGTTTAGGGTTTAGGGTTTAGGGTTTAGGGTTTAGGGTTTCTGAAGCATGGTGCCATCATGGCCTGCAGCCTATGCTAGGGTTTGCGGTTTAGGGTCTATAGTGTCTATAGGGTTTAGGGTTTGGGGTTTACGGTTTAGGGTTTAGGGGGGGGAGGCGGGGGGGTCGTGAAATAAGCACAAACACCTCAACACTAGAAGTCAACTTCCGTTGGGCAAAAACCCAGGCGAGTAAGGTCAGCGATGTACACCTGCTGCTGCAGCTACCACCTCGCAGACCTGCCTTCTGTAGTATGCCATCATGGCTGTGTAGGGAGTACAATACCTTGCACGATGTGCGAGGCTATGTCCGCAATACGTTATGGATCGTAAACGGCTCTAGTCAAGCTCCCAGAGTGGTCCCAACATGCACTTCCTACTCGTAAGTTTATCCAGGTGGTGGCCGGGCTCGTATTGTCGTGCTTCCTGTCCTGGTGGGGGTTGCACCCCCTGTGGGCACTACATTGCACCTGGGGACTTTTTGAGATTGCTTTTCAAGCTTGCTACAGTATGGAGATTTCCGTAGATTAGGGGTTCCCTTCTGGGTACCTAGAGGTCTGTAGTGGGGGTCCCCGTCCCCGATTTATGGAAATTATCTACAGGGTGCGGACGGACGTAGTTGTCGCGAAGTGTGCAGGTGTGAGGCTATGAGGGCAGCAGCCCAGCAGAGTTTGCGCTGGGCTGGTCAATCGGCAGAAGTGGCCGAATTCTGTTGGCGGTTCAAGGCTTTCGGGAGCGCTTGTCGAAATCGGTGGTGGCTGCTGAAACTTAGTTCTCCAAAGCCCAGCCTTTAAACTTTTTGGGCTCTGATAACTTAGTAGTAATCTGAAAGTTTCACATTTTATTTCCCTGGCTTATTGGGGAAGTAAGGAAATACTGGCTGATACGGTGCTGGCTTTGTTCTGGCATAGGGCTTTTCAGCTTCCTCCTTCTCCTGGCCGCCTACACTTTTGGTTCCAACCTACCTGACGAGCAACTGGGCTTTGGAGTACCATACTTTAATACTTTTTTTTGGGACCTCTTCCTTAAAGGAACCATTATGANNCCCTGGTTACTTCAAAGCCCAGGCAAGCAACAGTTCTCTCCATTATGGAGAAGAGCATGTCCGCACTGGTACTGACGCTCACCTTGGTGATGCCCTTCTATGAGCAGTACCTTGCATCACTTGTGCTAGATAGCACCTTGTCCGCTCCGTGGGGCCAACTTCCTGGGACCCTCTTTGGAGCTCCTGTTGGTTTTCCATTCAGTTTTGCTTGCGACCTGCTGGCTTGGATCAAGCTCCTAGCCTTTGGCAAGCATGCAATAGCATCCTCATCCCGAAAGAAGGTGGCTGCATCAAAGCAGACACCTCCATTCTCAGACGTTGGTCCATCCACTCTTTGACACCTGCCAAGCCTAAACCCTACACCCTAAAACCCTAAAACCCTAAACCCTAAACCCTAAACCCTAAACCCTAAGCCCTAAACCCTAAACCCTAAAACCCTAAACCCTAAACCCTAAACCCTCACAGTCTTTGAGT